ATTCGTATTTTCGTTGGTCGTTCGGAATCCTACTCAATCTTGTTTTTTTTAATTTTTTATGTTCTTGTTTGTGTTGATTTTTTAAATAATATTTATAATATTTTTTCAGTTACAATTGTGATACTTTTTGATTTTACACAAACAATAAGTTTCTTTATTATTGTTGTCATTGTTATGATTTTACAGCATATATGAGGGACAGCACTGATTGAATTGAATAGATATGGTGAAGGAATATCTACTATACTAATGACAAATGAAATGAATACTATAGTCTTGATGTGAATCCTTGTTCAAGAAGCTCTATCTTTCCAGCAATCCTGTAGCTATTCCTGCAGGTTCTTCCTGTTGTCAAGTTCATATTATCATTAGTATTATGAATATTAATTAATTGTTTTGTGTTTTTGAAATAAAATAATTCAATACACACTTGATAAATGCAAGATTAATACCTTCTCTTAGCTGGAAGCCTCCACTAAGTATTGCAATTTGATTCCAAGCATAGCTAGCCTAGCTTAGTCAGGCGGGGCCTGCCTCTCGCGGAAAAACGGAGAGTCAGGTTCAGTACGGTAGCTAGTTTTGTGTCAAGCGCAGGATTTCTGCGCTAGCAGGAAATGAGTCACAATGACCCAAATAATACCCACACAAGACATGAATAACATTATCATAAATTATTTTAAAATGGATGTAAAGGAAATGGTGTTTAGAAAGCTGAACTATGTCTTAAAGGAGGAGCAGTTGGCAGCTATCAAGGCTTTCCTCGAAGGAAGAGATGTTTTCATAGTGCTACCCACTGGCTATGGAAAGTCTTTGTGTTATATGTCTCTTCCAAGTCTTATTGACCATTCAGTAATTTATCACATCTCTGCACCTTTCTGCTGCTGGATCACATCTGTTTAATAACATTAACATAACATTAACAATTAACAATTAACATAACATTAATAATAGCCTAAACATACAATGACGGTCATGTTTACACGCGTATGGGCGGTGCTCATTTTCAGCCAGATCTATATGCATGCTGTCAGCTCCACCCGTGACACAAAACTAGCTACCATACTGAACCTGACTCTCCGTTTTTCCGCGAGAGGCAGGCTCCGCCTGACTAAGCCTAGCTAGGTAAAAAAATACTTGCTGTTCCCAGTTCTGAGATCTGAGCATGCGCGACCACGCCCAAAATTTTTGGAGCACATGCTTTTTTAATTAACAAAATGGCGGCATGAGGTAAGCTGGTGCGATCCAACAGTCACAGTATCACTTCTTCCTTTCTTGAAGAATGATTCTAGGGGACAAGGACCTGTGCATACCCTGTTGGAGTAGAATGGTATAAGAATTAGCCTTCTATCACCAGGTAAGATTCATATATCCAGAGGCGTATCCAGAAATGGGAAAAGGGGGGTGCCGAGGGCGCGCGAAACGCGCTGCAATTTCGGCCACACACCTTTTGTGGCAGTAAAATGGCGTTTTTCTTCATTTTCGTGAATTACGGGTGGGGTCAAAATTATTTCAAGCATCTAGTACTTCTGACAACTTCTGATTGCTCCTGAAAGCACTGGAAACTGCTGAAATAATGATCAGGGGGCTAGATAACTTTGTTAAGAGGCTTGGTAGTGATGCAAAAATCCAGGATTTGATCAATTTTTTTCTGAGCCCAGCCATGAGGGGGGTGCTCAAGCCCCCCTCAGCCCCTGCTGGATACGCCCCTGATATCGACCGACAACTGGATTGACAGGAGATCATGACAAAACGGCCGGTTTGCAGATTTTTGATTTTTCTCCCAGAAAAGGTTTAGAGCCACGCTAGTGGTACCATTGGAGTCCTCTGGTCAAGATAAGGTCCTCTAAGAAGTCTGGTAAGCATAGGAGCTCGTTTTCCCAGTATAGCAAGGCTGCAAAAGTCGTGGCAGCCATTTTGTTTGGGGATGAATCCTACTTAGTAACGCTACCGCGTTACTAATATTATCAATACAATAAGGTACACAATTATTACAAAGAAATAAAATGAATAAAAATGCCTCAAGTTCACTTTTAATTGTGTGCATTAATTTAGCATTTTAGATCCATTTGGGTGTTTGGCTATATTTGAGGCTTTTAATGACTTTTTGAGCCAACTTTAAAAATTCATTAAAAATCCAAATTTAATCGGAATCAACTCAAACTTTACACATAACATAAGAACAAGCATATGTATCAGTAAATATTACAAAAAATGAGAATTCTCTACTTTTTAATTTTGGCAAAATTTAGCTTTCTACACAACATAAGAACATGTACATGTACATATGTGCATCAGAAAATGTTATAAAAATTGACAGTTCTCTAATTGACATTTTTGGTAAAATTTGGCTGACGCCCCTGTACTATAGTACAGGGACTTTGACCCAATTTTTGAGCAACTTTAAAAATTCATAAAAAAATCCAAATTTAATTGGAATTAGTTCAAACTTTCTACACAACACAAGAACATGTATATGCATCACTAAATTCCATATACAGAAGTACTGTAGAAATCAGAGAATTGTGGTAAATAAATATCACAGTATGTTATATCAGTCACTGAATTCTCATTATTTTACTAATGATGTAATGTACATGTATACAATGTACGTAACATCTAGTAGATCTACATGTACATGTAACCTGTTCCTTTATCCCTTACATGTATTGGTTTCTTTCTCTCCTATTCCTGAAAGAGCTCAGCCGTCCTCTCTTCAACAAGTTTATCTTCAGCAACAATCTTCATTTGTAGACTACCAGTCTAGAGGAAGAGAGAGAGAGAGATTAATGAAGACCACTGGCGGATCCAGAAAAATTAAAAGGGGGGTTCCATTTCACTTAAGTAGGTGTGGCTCATTAATTTTAATTAAAAAATTGGGTGTGGCTCATCAATTTTAATTAATAAAATGGAGGAAAAGTGCTGCAAACTGACTGCAAAGAATCCAAAGATGCTGCAAAAAGACGACTTCTTCTGCCAAAGGGGGGTTCCATGGAACCCACCTAGATCCGCCACTGAAGACCATCATGTGTTCATCATTGGAACAGGCCACACCTACAACCACACCCACTAATTACCTTGCTGACCCTCTTTGACTGCTGGATCCACTTTGGACAAATCGTCGAGTACAATGTCCTTCTTTTGAGCAATATCATGAGTTTATCATGTTATACAGAGGTGTCCTTTACATGTGTATGTGAAGGTTAATTTATACAGTAAGGAATGTAATTAGTACACACTACATGTAGGTGCTGTCCATTGAATGGAAGTGTACATCAGCAGTATATTTATTATGAACCTAGGAAAAGAAAGAAAATCACTAGATAAAACAATTCTTTGTTTTTCCTCTCTCTCCCCCCCTTTCTCTCTCTCCCTCTCCATTATTACTTTTATTTCAAACACTGATAGTCCGTTGATCCAAGCCACAAACCTAGACAGTGTAGTCTTTCCAGCTCCACTGACACCAATAAGCAACAAATGACTCTAAAAGAGGCGGAGTCAATAAGAGGTGTGGTTAATAATAGACCACACCTACCTGTTGCTATTTGAAGATCCTGTCAATATAAAGGACATGATCAAGGACTTCATTAAAGAGAACAAGAGGAACGTCTAGCTCTTCCTCATAGAAAACCTCATCGAAACCTTCCTCACCAAAAACCTTCCTCATAGAAACCTTGTCGATCCAAATATCAAAGATAGCGTTGATCTTGTTCAGTTTTTCATCTCAAGCTGGAGCCTCATCTTTAAATACTTGTTAACAAGACATGGGATTGGGTAAAAGGAGAAATTAAAAGTGAACTTTTTCTACAAAGTTATTCATTTTCTCTCCTTGTTTATAATTCACATGGAAATTCTCTCCTTTCTCTGTCTATTCAACTATGCTAATTATTGCTCTCATTCCTTAACTAATGTAGCATTATATGGACATATGAACTTTAATACATGTAGTTCATCATCTCACAACTAATCTACATGTACATACATGTCTTTCTTTTCTCTTTCTTACTCTTCTTCTTCTCGCCCCTCCCTCCCTCCCTCCCTCTCTCTCTCTCCCTCCCTTACTTTAAAGAATGGTGATAGTTTCATTGTAGTCACTGAGTTGATGTGCTCCTTCACTTTAGTAAAGAGGTCATCCCATCCTTTTATCAGTTTCCACTTGTTCTGATAGTTAATCAAATCCAATTCGTACATCAACCACTGCTCTCGAACCTACACAAAATTAGTAAATCCCAATAAATTTCAGTATATTAT